TTACTCGCTCATTCTCACGCTCACTGTCCCGCTCTCACTCACACTCTCACTGTTTTACTCTCGGTGCCTATTACACTCACTCTCACGCTCATTCACTCTCTCACACACTCACTGCCTAGCTGATCTCGTCAAGGAGCATAAACCGTCACGCAAACTCCGGTCATTATCACTGCGGCTTTAGGCTAACCATCGAACAAAGATGGTCGCCACATCGCGCGCTTTCAGATGCACTTCTGTGGTCGTCTGGAACGCTCTTCCGATATTAGGAAACCACTGGAGCTGTGCACTTTTAAATAATCTAGATTGACAAACTAATTTCTTTAGAACTGCTTGTTGTGTTTAGTTTGTTGTCCTTCCCACGCACCTCCGATTAGCACAGTTGGCTACGTACGGTGCAAAAGAAGTTCAACACAGAGCCTGGGTACGGCTCCTCCTTGATGCGTAGAAGGGAAGGAGTTTCACAGCCCATCTGGTTGTGATCCACCAACCCTTGCTGCTGCATCTACAGCCATTGGATCACTACAGGAAGCCACGTGCAGCAGCAGCATGGCCGCAACCGCCTAAGATGGGCTCATGAAACCCGTCTGCATGATCGTTTTGAGTTTCACAAGCTAGGAAGCTAAACACGTTTAATGAAGTTCAAGGTCCTATACATCCCGATGTAGCAACACCCTCCCGAAGACGAGTCTTGAGACTTAGCAGGCTCTACTGGATAACTAAAGGGCATCATTCGAGACTATGTAGGTGCCTTGGTGCATGCGTGTGTGTAAGGGTTGCGGGGAGCGGTGATGTAGCGGTCAGCGCGATGCGCTATGAACCCCGCGACCTGAGTTCGATTCCAGCTCACGGCCAACACCAATAACGATTATCTGAACCGGGTATGGGCCTCCCCTTAGGTCGCCTCAGCCTCAAATGAGTATCTGGTGCAGTGTGTAAACATCGCCACTAGGGAGACAAAGGCGGCCGGGCGTGGTGTTGGCTACCCACCCCCTCGTGTGCCGTTCCGGCCTTCATAGGTGCTCCCTAACAGCACTTGCCCTACAGTATGTTAAGGCTACACGGGGGATCTTTGTCTTTGTGTAACATGGTTGCTCTTTCTTTCCTCTTCTCCGATGCCGACTCAGGAGTGAATTAGGGAAAGTATAATCATCAACAACATCAGCAGCAGCAGCAGCAGCGTTTAACACGTCGCAGGTTTTCGTGGCCGACAGAAAGTTTCGGAATTCATTGTTTTTTTGGTTTTGGGGTGAGGACGTCACGCAAGTAAAAATATTGTGTCGTATTAACCCTCCTCCACCCGACAGGGCCAGTTGAAAAAGTTGTTACGTGGTGAGCAAGCGAAGTGCCGGATCGTCGGCACTGCGTGAGCACCGCCACCACCGTTAGCGCCTCCAACAACGCCCTGGGAACGAACGTTTCGCTCGGAGCTACAAGCAGCAGCACCAGGCAGTTGGCAGGCATCTGATTTATTCTAAAAAAAAAATCTATAATGAAGCAATATAATAACCAACATCATCATCGCTACAAGGTCAATACAATGCATATCACTTTAGTGGGAAAGTCAACAGTGGCCGTCAGACAGACAGACAGGACTCGTCAGAAGCAAATGTGGAATTTCTACAATTGTGTCCCAGTACCCATCGATAGAAATAATGCCGCCCCCAACATTTGGACGTGCGGACGGCGTTGGCCTTTTGATTAAGGTGGCATCTACAGAAGGAAGCACAGCAGGTAGGATTTCCTCCAAAATGTAAAAAAAATATTAAAAAATTGGAATTGACCGGTCTATTTCAACATAGCTGGACCCTAATTTTTGTATTCTGGTTTAAGGAATATTAAAAAAGACACGTTCCCACAGGCAAGGTTTACAAACGCTTTTGTTTCTCCGTAACATTCTGTGGTGCCTGAATTAAGATGCGCGTACATCTCCGTGTTTATACAGTGCTCCACCAAAGTAAGATGCACTCTGGTAAAGAAGCGCGTTTTATATCGCCAGAAGACGATTCCGAACAACACCACCGCCACACCTTTCGGACGATAATCACTTTTTAGCAATGTTTACCAGAAAATTATTCTGACGGCTGATGCCCGGTCTCTGCTGTCTCTCTGGGTGGGTTCGCTAATTGCAGCGGAGGAAACTGCCACGGTGGCTAGATGTTAACTACCTCGCCTGGTATACAGGAGGTCGTGGAGTCGATCACGATCCTAATGACGCCTGTTGCTCTATATTTGGAGTGTACGTCTCTCTCATCATCATCACCACGGTGGCTAGGAGATGTTAACTAATTCGCCTGGTATACAGGAGGTGGGGGAGTCGATCACGTCCCTAACGACGCCTGCTGCTGTATATTTGGAGATGTGAACTACCTCGCTTGGTATACAGGAGGTCGTAGGGTCGATTACGACCCCTGACAATGCCTGCTGCAATACATTTGGAGTCTGCGTCTCTCTCTCTCTCATCACCATGGTAGCTAGATGTTAACTACCTCGCTTGGTATACAGGAGGTCGTGGGGTCAATCACGACCCTGATGCCTGCTGCTGTATATTTGGCGTTTGCGTCTCTCTCATCACCATCACCATGGTAGCTAGGAGATGTTAACTACCTCGCCTGGTATACAGAAGGTCGTGGGGTCGATTTCGACCCCTGACGATGCCTGCTGCTGTTGCTGTATATTTGTAGTCTGCTCTCTCCGTGGTGGTCGCGTGGATTTTCTCCGGGTCTTCCGTTTTTTTTCACTCCACATTATTAATCAACAACTCGACTAGATCACATCTTCCGGGAGAGAGGGTGCATTTTCAGGATGATAAGACGTACCCGCAAATTAAAAGATATATAATTAGAGGATACCAACGAGCATCTTATAATCAGGAGAATACGAGAGCGGGTAATGATTTGACCGACACATCCCAGCGAGTGCCGGTGATAAAGGAATCTCCCTGCAGGTGTACAGACAGGCCGATTGAGGGAACGGTAGCTCAAGGAGTCCACAATGGCCGAGTCAGAGAAGTCGAGAACGCTGAGACCCCACATTCCCATGCGGGTTTCAGCTGCCTAAGCACACCAATTACGCCGGGGTCTCGAGTGCAGAGGGGGTTGATGGTCTTAGCCCAATCACCAGTCACTTGCATAGAGACTCATAGAGTCGCACACAGAGCCATAGACTCACGCAGAAACCCATAGACTCACGTAGAAACCCATAGACTCGCGTAGAAACCCATACACTCACGCAGATCATCACGTAGACTCAACTATGATTAGACCGGGTTCTCAAGAGCAATGACAGAGCCAGGATTTTCAGGTAGGGGGGCAACCCCTCCAGCAATGAAAAATGACTACGTGACTTTACCGAAAGAACCAAAGAAGAAAAAAAAGAAAAATGAGTTGTCAGTAAATAAGGACTTGTCCCTTGCTTTTTATTCGACGTGTGTGCGGCGATGGCGCAGCCATCGATCGAGGGTCGAATTCGAACCGCGTTGTGTGATCGGCATCGCGCCCGCTGAAGGTGAATGCCTTCAGAGAAGTCGTGTACTGTATACGCAACTGCGGAGAATTCTGTGAGTCACTTATAACTGCTTTGCCGTTATTTATTGCCAATTATGGACTCAGACTATTGTTCTATCATCTTATAGAGTCCCTGGCACGTAATAATATGCTACACAGTGGCAGTGGGGGTCGCAAAATGCTGACTTATTACTAACAAACCCCAATGATCCGATCGAATTAGGGATTTCGATCGGATCATTGGGGGGGCAACGTGCCACCCCCCCCCTTCCCCCCCCCCACTGGCTCCGCCAGTGCTCAAGAGAGAGTTGATAGTCTCAGCCTGGTTACCAAGTGACTTGCAGAGTAGTGTAATTAAACTGGTTCTCAAATGTAGTGGGGCTGATGGTCTCTAGACAGTCGTCAATTATCGCACAACAAGAGATCCCTTCCCAAACTTTTATAGTACTCGAAAGCCGAGTGCAGCACTGAGGGCTATGAACACAAGGTGACCACGATGCCAGGGGGGTTCGCGATTTGATTCACAATTTAAATTATTTTAAACGCCGCGTTGGATGTAGCGTCTCTAGCGGCTGGAGGGAGAGGGTTCACGTGGACCCACAGCATACAGCACGAATCGAACACAAATGCATACCTGTCAACCCCTTATCAGTGCCCTACCTTATTACAGACCAATTCAGACCTTAACGGTCACTCAGTGCCCTTATAAATCTCAACGGTCATCCTACAAAGTCCCATCACAAGGGAGAAACACAAATAGACAATGTTTTTGTTTTCCGTATTGAAACGGCTGGACGCCGTATGGACCTGACACTTCAATTTCCCTGTACAAGAATACGGGGTAAAGCGTATGGGTTGACAGCTGTGCAAATACATTGTCACCCCAACCCCCCCCCCCCCTCCGCGCGGTCGTACGCATGCATGCGAGCGTTTAAAAATAAAAACACAAACCGAACCGATTTTAAGATTACGGAATCACCGCGTCGCTGCACGGACCAGGGTTGGTCGGCCCTGGGTCAGTCAGGCGGGAGTCGATAGGCCACAGGGGCCGAGCTGCGAGGAGTGTGGGCCCCCTGCCATCGGTGACTCTTTGCACGTCTTCAGCCGTGGTGCTGCCCCCCTCGCGTTGAGGTAGCGGGCCGGAGAAATCTGGACGTCTTCCCCGGGACAATTCAAGTTCCCACGTTGCTTTGTGCGAGTTGAGCAAAAATGCCCCACTCAAGTTGTACGTGCAGTTCTCCCCTCCCGCTGTCGCCAGATTACTCTCCTTATTCGCCCCGGGATACGTCCCGGGTTCATGTACCTCAGAGGTGGCAACCATACCTTTCCGGGGCAGTAATGCGTTCAAGCCGTTTGTTTTCCCCATGTTGCTAAATCCACCGCGCAGAGCCGGCATCTCCTCCGCCTCCTCCTCCACCTCTCCCTTCTCATCTTCCTCTTCAACCGATCGTCATTTAAAAAGAAAAAAAAACGTTCACGATAAAAACCATTGATAAAAACTACAAAAAAAAAACAAACACTCGTGATCGTAAAGTCAGCCACTCAGGTCAGCACTTGAGGCCTGTCGCTCCAGGCCTGAGCTTTCTTCTTGGCAAGCGCCAGCCACGTGGGCTCGGCGCTAGCGGCGCTGGCGACCACCGCTAGTGCCGCAGGAGAAGCGGAAGCAGCAACGTTGGGCGCTGGCGACCGCTCTGTGCCGGAGGGCGCCGCCGGCCGCCGGTGGCCACCGCCGCGAGCTGCTCCTGCCCCGCTCTGCCTCGACTGGGAGCCGAGGAAGGCATGAGCGGGCGGCGCTCGGCGCCACTCCACTCCTCCATCGGCCGCCGACATCGGCTCTTGCCCTACCCTTCGCTGCCGCTGCTGCTGTTGCTGATGCTGCTGTTGCTGTTGTTGCCGCTGCAGCTGCTGATTCTGCTGCTGATTCTGTTGCCGCTGCAGCTGCTGATTCTGCTGCTGCAGTTGCTGATTCTGCCGCTGCTGTTGTTGATGCCGCTGCTGCTGTTGCCGCTGCTGTTGCTGATTTTGCTGCTGCTGTTGCCGCTGCTGCTGCTGCTGATTCTGCTGCTGCTGTTGCTGAGGCTGCTGTTGGTCGCGTTGCTCGGCGAAGCCGCGCTGTTTGCGCCGGGCGAGCGTGATCCACGTGGGTTCCTGCGCAGGGGTGTGGAGGGGCGTGGACGGAGCGGCGGCAGCGGGGTCCGGAGCGGGAACTGTGACGCACAATCGGAGAGGGGACGCGGGTAGAGACAAGCGGCAGTTGTCAGGGCGGCAGTCGTCGTTACGGCAGCAGTCATCGTCCCCGCGGCGATTATCACGATGGCAGCCGTCACGGCGGCAGTCGTCGCTCGACCCCTCCTTCCATTTTCTAACCAGCGAACAAAGACGGCCGGCACTGGATCATCGCGCGGCACTTCCAGACGCGCTTCCGCGGCCGTCTCGAATGCTCTCCCTTCCCATATTAGGAAGCCACTGGGAGCTGTGCACTTTTATATCTACATTGAAAACTCATTACTTTAAGAACTGCTTTTCCTGTTTAGTTTGTCGTCCTTCCCCCCGCACCTCCGACTAGCGCGGTTGGCTACGTACGGTGCGACAATACATACAACGTACTGTACATACATCATACATTGGTCCTGCCCCTGTTAGCTCCACCCCCCTCCTCCCATTGGCTCTTCATTTCCTCCATTATGGATTTTTCTCCAGGTTCTCTGGTTTTCGCCTCCAAATTTAGAATCAACATCATTTGGCTACCGCTGTAGATTTCCACACGATGATCAGCCAGTTTAACACGTAGGCTTTCGTGACCAATATTATTCATAATAAAGGTTTTTGGGTCAGATCGCGTTGTTTATAAATGTGTCGTAACCCTCCACCACCCGACACAGGCCAATCAGCAAAAAAGTGTCATGTTGACAAAAGACAAATAGTTCACTACTTTAGCCCACCGGTGTGTTGAAGAGTGAATCCACAGCATTTACAGTTTGAGTACGACGTTTTGCTGGTAATTACATCCAGCACCATCGAGCAATTCGCCACATTTGTAAATAATGCGATCTAACCCAAAAACCTTTATTATGGATGAAAAGCCACTTCGTCGAGTCACCTCTTGCGATAAGCCAGGTCGCTTCAGAAAAAGAGCGACACAGTACCTCAGTGGGGCCTTATGTGGTAAAATTTAAAAAAATGGTTTAGTTTATAGGTCACGAGGCTGAATCTCAGAGGCAGTTGTGCGATATCCACTTCCGTGGACCGTTCCCTCATGCGTTGTGTGATGGAACGCTCTGGGAGATTTCCCGATGGATTCCTAACACCACGCCGGTCGGTGCAATCCAGATACGGTTGAGGGGGAAAGACAAACATTTTTTTTATCGAATCTAAAGGAGAGAACTAATGCCGAGTGTTACAACTCAACTAGTTTTCACGCAAGTTAATTCTCACGGCAACTCCGTGAGATCCACCCTCCGGATTGTTCACCTTACGACACAGTGCCGGTCACAGAATCAGGGTAAAACGTGAAAGGGGGGGAAGGTGAGGGGGGAAACCGAGTGGGACCGAGGCCATAGCGGCACTGACCCGCAGCGGCGCTCCCCGTGCGGGAGTCCAACTTGTGCTCGCCGCCGCCCGCCGCCGCCGCCACACTTTCTGCGGGCCCCCCTCGCGCCCCCCTCCCCTCGCCCCGCCTCGCCGCGCCCCCCACGGCTTTCTCAGCGATCGCTGAAAAATCCGGCGAGGCGACCTTCGCCTTTGCCACCACCAAAGCCGCCAAGGGCTGTACTCCCCGTTCCTCCTCCTGCTCCGGTGGCGGCGGTGACGACGGTGACAGTGGTGACGGCGATGACAGGGTCATGGCCTCGCGGGCGGGAAGCGCGCCGGCCTTCGGGGACCTGTCCACGGTGCCGAGCCCGGCTCTGGCTACGCCCCCGGCCACGCCCCCGACCACGCCCCCGGCCACGCCCCTGGCCGCTCTGGTCTTGTCGGTGAGCGGGACCCCATCGCGTCCGGCCGAGGGCACCACGGATTTCCCCGGCGTCCTCGCGGTTGGCGAATTTCCCACCACCCGCGGTCCGCCCTTCCGAGCGGCCTCCGTGCAGTCCTTCGCCACCACCGCCACGCTGAGCTGCTCGCCGCCGGTGCTGTGCCGCTTGCGCACCCTCCTCTCCTCCGCCACGCGGTCCTGATTGAACTTGAGCGAGTAGGACGTGCGGCGCAGGCGCACACCGAACGGTGACGCCCCCTCTCCCGCTGTTCCGGCCGTCACAACCACCGCTGCCTCCTCCTCCTCCTCGTCATCGTCGTCGCCCGGCTTGGCGAAGGCAACGGAAGTCGTCGTTGTCCGTCCGCCGTTCGCGTCGCCCTCCGTCCCCCCAAACTCGACAATTCGCACGTTCCCAAACTCGCACCGGCGCTTCTGCCTCTCTCCCACCGTCGACTGAGATTCCCCCGCCCTCGTCTTCCCCGACTCCTGCCGCCCGATGCTCCCGACGGCCGCGGCAAAGCTGGCGTCCGATTTGGGCCAGGTGGCGCGCTTGTCCTTGCCGGCACGTGGCGTTCGAGCGCCGACCGCTGTCGGCGCCACCGCCTCGGGCTTCCCCGCGGGCGCCCACGACGATGGCGAATTTCCAGCGTCGGCTTCAAAATCTGAGAACGATGACCAAACGCCACTCGGTGACGGAGACTCAACGGTAGCCACGCGCGGATCCGAGGCCGTTGACTTGTCGTTAGCCGCCCGCGCCTCGCCGACATCCGCGCCCGAGGACGGCACCCCACCGGCGCCAGCCGACAGCCGCGATCCTCCGGGAGCCGCCTCCGTGCCCGAGGGCGGCGATTTGTCGCTGCCCGCCAACGGCGACTCTCCGAAATCCAAACTCCACGATCGGTCCCAGGCCGACGCGACCGAGAACTTGGCGCCCACCGAGGTGGCTTTGCGCAGCGGAGGGTGCCGTACGGTCGGGGAGTCGGCCGGCGGCGTGGCCGCCAGGGAGAAACGGAGGCCCCTGTGGAGGTTCTCCTCGCTGCTGCTCTTAACGATGGCGGCGGCGGCGCGGCCCGTGGGGATCACGGTGAGGCCCCCGGGCGTCGTGACGATGGTGTGGCCGCTGCCCGTGAGCGTCACCACAGCGTCGCTCCTCCTCATCGTCGTCGTCTCGTGCTCCTGCCGCCTCGCGCTCCTCGGCGTGCGTGCGCTTGGAGCGGCGGCGATGGCGGCGGCGGGGGGGCGGCGGCCGTCTGGAGGCGAGGAGTCACGCAGCAGGTCAAGTACAGGGGAAGTATGGGGGCAGTGGTGGTAGTGGTGCCAAAACAATATGGAGTGTGGTCGTTGCCTGCTCAGGACACCGCTAGATAAGCTACGAAGCTCTTTTTTACCGACGTCCAGTAGGACATCTGTGTAGGATGATTAGCACGGTTGGCTACGTACTGGTCGAAATAAGTTTTACTTATAAAGAGGTGGGTCAGGAAAAATAAATAATACGTAAAATAGATTAAGTAAATAAGTTTACATTGCATTTATATAGAACGTATTTCGCAGACCACAGCAATGCAACACACAGTAGCCCCTCAATACAAATCATATTTGCAAATGCGGTTGCACCCAGCACTAACCTGCAGCTTCACTGAGGATAAACGAGATTGTTGCCAACTCTGCCACGCTGGCTGGACGGTGTTGAAAGAGGTGGTAGTACCCACGCTTCACCCCACCAGTCCATCGGCTAACTGTGTACCCAATCTATGTTGACGAGTATACATTTTATTGTGACTTTACCGAAAGAACCAAGAATATGAATCCCTGCAGTCACAAAAGCTTTAAATAAAAAAATACATTTTATTCTTAATTTGACTATTATAGCCCACCGACAATACACGTACAGCCTTTGTGTGGGGGGGGGAGTAGGGCTGGAGATAGTTGCTGCCGTATCCGACAAAACGGCACAAGAGTGGAAAGTTGCCTCAAGCGCCCTCTGCTGCTCATCTCTGCTCCACACCAAGAACTCTGCTGCACAACAACCACTGCTGACTTCCCACAAAGCGGTGCCTATAATATAATAAATTACTATAACTAGTTTTATTTTACCAGGTAAGGCCGACACTCTTTTTCAGAAGCGACCTGGCCATCACAAACAATAGCTCAACGCAGCAGCTTATCGAGTGGGCATTTATCGCAGTCAAATATTATAAACGCACGTTTTTAAATGTGGAGGGAAATAGAAGTAGGACACGGAGGGAAATAGAAGTAGGACACGGAGAAAAATCCACATGGTCAGAGAGAAACATGCAAACTCCAAATATACAGCAGGTGTCAGGGTCGGGATCAGACCCACGACATCCTGTATACCACGTGAGGTAGTTAACATTTTCCAGCCACCGTAGCACCCTATATACCTTACAGAGGTGGTGTTGTGAGTTAACCTCTCAATGAAACAACGATGTGAAATAATAGCTTCATACCAAACTTACTGGGAACAATGTCTCCTCCCGGAGTCGACAGTTTCACTCTCCTCGCCTCCTGTTCTTTGCCGAAACCTCGTCTCACCTCACCGTTGCCGCCATCGCCAGCACCACCACCACTATGACCACCATCTCCGTGACCACCACCACCACCGCCAGCACCACCAGCACTGCCACCACCTCCAACATCACTAATATGACCACCACCGCCTCCATGACCACCACCTCCATGACCACCACCACCGCTGCCACCACCACCGCTGCGCCCTCTCCTCTCCTCCTGTTGCCGAACAGAGGCCTCCGCCGCCTCCCTCTCGCTCCTCAGCTGCGAGTCCGTCACCAAGATGGCCGTGTGCGGTACGTCCACATGGGACACTGGCACCAGCTTCACCTCGTCGTAAACCACCGCCACAGCTGTTTCTGCCGCCGACGCCTCTTTGGTTTCTCGCAGGTTGGAGGGTCCCGAGGAGGCAGCAACGGGGGCCGCGGCTGCAGAGGGCGGTAGCGAAGGTTGGATCCCCAGCCGAGTGGAGCGAAACTGCGCGGCTGTCAAATTGGGAGTCGGGGAGACACGGAAAGAGGGAGTGCACGCGCCGAAAGTACGAGCCATCAGTAGCCAGAGCGGCCGCGGTGGTGGTGGTGGTGTGAATCGATTGAGCGGAATCGTGGCTTGTAAACCAGCGCCGTGGAGGAAGAAACGGTTGGTGTGAAACTCGTTTCCTGTGGGCGTCGAGGAGCCATACCCCTGCCTCTACGAGAAGGCGGTAGACAGCAGAGTGTGTGGACTAATCTACATCTGTTCCATCTCACTCCCTTCTACCCGTGGGTCGGTGTCGAGCAGTCATACACCTGGCTCTGTTAGGAGGGCGGTACACCAGCAGAGTGCGTGGAGTAATCTCCATCTGCTCTATTTATTACGGGATAAAGTGTTGCTCCCTCGCACTCTGGTTTCCCTCCCATATGCATAAACTCACAATTAATTGGTTGATAGCATCTTTTCCATCGTTTTTAAAACCCAATGTAGCAGGATCCCCCTCGAAAGAGTCCTAGGACTCTTGGTAAATGAGTAATTATAAGTATCAAATAATATTATTATCTCACCACATATGCCTTACTTAGACTTAAATAAAGAGCGAACTAACTTTTCCACACTCCACTTGCGCCGCTTTTGACTCGCGCATTTTGTTTCCGACCGTCAGGTTCCTCGTTGGTTGTGCAACGTTCCTTAAGAATCCTGGACTCGTTCTCTGCAGTGCTTTTGTCTTTGCTGCTGCTGCTGCTGCTGCTCACGAATCACGGATCTCCCTTGTAGGGTGTTCAAGATGCAGCGCTGCCGGTTCACATATCGCTAACGTGCAATGCACCACGAAAACCAACCTGACAAGGGAGGCGTTGAGGTGTTCACAACCTAATGCTGAAGATGCATGTTATAACTTCTTTCATGTTTTTTTTTTACTTTTAACGAATTTGTAGGCTTGTTGTTCCATGTAACTTACATTCATTTATGTAATGTTGTGCTTCTATGAAAGTGTCATTGCGAAGGGCGATGTAAAAACGATAAAATCGTACACCCGACAAAATTGCCGCTCAGAGATTTGCCCACAATATATGGGACAAAGTGGGCGTGGCTTTGGCCGAAGGGGGCGTCTTTGCCCACATGTAGTCACTGTGGATCGTTAATCGAGGTTAATTGTGATCGATTCCGCTCAATCGATTCACAATAAACAAATGTCAAAAAAATAATCGTAATTTGCGGGTTAATCACCGCGTCGATTTATTGAAAATCGATCCACGGATCGAGTTATGATGTGACACGCCTCCTCCTTCATTTGATTGGCTAATATTGGGAAGATCGGTGATGCAGCCATAGACCCGCTTTTATTGTCCCACAGCACCTTTGTTAAATGGAGTGCGTGGATATGACCGATGGTAAAAAAATAGCCGGGGTAACCGGATACTCAGGACCATCAAAGTCAGAATGTTTATTTAGTCTGCAGGAGGAATCCGATGAGCTATGAAGCTCTTTTTCACACGTGTCCAGTGCACTCTCACAGCCAACCGAGTGGCACGGTTGGCTGCGTATGGTGGCGAAAGAAGTTCAACATTCACGTTGCACAACAGGTATGAAAAAATAAGAATCGGTATGTACCCTTTCTGGCAATAAAACAGGAAGTGTTGAGATGTTCAAAAACCCAAATAGAAACCTTTTGCAAGGAATCAAGTCTGCATCAACCACACGTACTTGTGGTGAACATGCAAACAGACATGCTGTGATAATAAATGCATTGTCTTTGAAACTGATTGGCCGACACCAAAGACAGCAGCCTTCTTTGCGGCCAGTAATAAAACAGGTGCTATTGCCGGTAAGGGTAAAACCGATTCTTATTCATTCATGCTTTGATACTGGCAAAAAGGTCCCATTTCATGGCACAAGACAAATCAACTCAAGAACGCCCTCAAGAATACGTGCGTTGCGCTACATTCTGTTCCGTTGTCTGCGTAAAGGCGTCGTGCATACAGGCGTCGTGCGTAGCAGCAGTGGTGGTATTAGAGGCATGGGAGTCCATTCTAGGCGTTGTATTTAAACAGGTGAACCCCGTCTGAGATAGCTGCACGACACCACCGTGCGTTGTGTTGACTCGACAAATAGCAAACACGGTTGGCCCGGACCCCGCGTGAGATCTTAATTAACCGTGTGCTTTTACTGCCCGCGAGACTGTGTGTAGAAGATTAACGGACGTGCGGGTGTGTGGTTTTGACAGCAGCGGTGTCAAGATCGGCCGCTGTAGAGGAGGGAGGAGGAGGCTCGTGAAGGGACATTACTGGGCAGTTGGAGGCAGTCGCCCTCCAGCAATAATAGTGGAGGGCAGAGGGGCGACGCTCACAAAAACGGGCAGAGCGCCGGGCGGAAAAAAACACAGCGAGTTGGTGCAGTAGGTGGCACAGGTGTTCCAAAGTCGACCCAGGGCACCTAGGTCTAAATGTGCACATAGCCTGGCACAAGTGCCGTGGTGACGTCACCGCCACTTAGTGGCAGATGGCGGTTGTTGTGAAAGTGAGTGAGAGAGTGAGGCTAAGTGAGACAGTGAGTGAGTGCCAGAGTGAGACCCTGAGAGTGAGTTGGCGCAGTAGTGGGGGGGGAAGGGGGGGCACGGCTGGTGTGCATCTGGGCCAGCCGTCTCAGTCAGTCAACCCATGCCACCCGATCATGCTATTGGCATCGCGTGTTTGGCGGTGCCTGAAACAAGGCGAGCGGCGGTTGGAAGCAGAGGCTCACCGGGTTTGTCCGAAGGCGTGTGGCTCAACGCAAGCGACGCGGCCGCCGCTTCCCCGCCCACGTCCAGCGGTGCCGTGGCGGTGGACAGGGATGTCGCTGACAGACCCCGGCCAACTGGAAGGGCGCAGGAAAAGGCAACGATGATGATAACGATGATGTGTGGATTTAGAAGGGTGCCGCGGTAGCTATGAGATGTTAACTCCCTTGCATGGTATGCAGGATGTCGTGGGTCAGATTCCGACCCTGACGCCTGGTGTATACAGTGAGGGAAAAAAGTATTTGATCCCCTGCTGATTTTGTACGTTTGCCCACTGACAAAAAAATGACCAGTCTTTAATTTTAATGGTAGGTTTATTTGAACAGTGAGAGACAGAATCACAACAAAAAATCCAGAAAAACGCATGTCAAAAATGTTATAAATTGATTTGCATTTTAATGAGGGAAATAATTATTTGACCCCCTCTCAATCAGAAAGATTTCTGGCTCCCAGGTGTCTTTTATACAGGTAACGAGCTGAGATTAGGAGCACACTCTTAAAGGGAGTGCTCCTAATCTCAGCTTGTTACCTGTATAAAAGACACCTGTCCACAGAAGCAATCAATCAATCAGATTCCAAACTCTCCACCATGGCCAAGACCAAAGAGCTCTCCAAGGATGTCAGGGACAAGATTGTAGACCTACACAAGGCTGGAATGGGCTACAAGACCATTGCCAAGCAGCTTGGTGAGAAGGTGACAACATATTCTTAGTTTTTTCGGTAAAGTCATGTTGAAGAGAAACAACAAAATAACAAAATATATATAAAACAATAAAAAATTCTCACGACGTTTCGACCATAACTCAAACGGTCATCATCAGGTGTGTCGGTTTGCATAAATTTATTTTGAAAACGGCATATTTATTTATTTATATATATAAAAATAACGTTTGCGTCACGCGCAACGGTTGGCTGTTTGCCAGGACTAGTCCATCTATTTTTTGAAAAGAGGAGGGGGGAGACGAAATTTGTTTTTATGTATGCTGTCTGAAAGCCACTGTAAGCGTGAACAATCAATCAAGAACTGAAATGATTTATCAAATCTTTCCAATGATTGCTAAGATAGAATCCATCTTCTCGGTTGAAATTGTCTCTGTGTTTGTATATGTGGATAGCCTCATGAACGAATCTCTCATGGAAGCCAGATGGCTTACAAAGAACCTCCGTCTTGGAAAAGTCAATGGCATGTGAGCCTACTGAATTAGAACAATGATCTGCTACGGCCGAGGTGTTAGTCCTACCGTGTTTAAGGTCTGCTTTATGTTCACGAATGCGGTCCGAGATATGGCGTTTGGTTTCTCCAATGTAACTACTACCACAGAGGCAACTTAGTTTGTAGACACCAGGGTATTGTATGTCCGGAATCACATCTTTTACAGACGGAACCAGATCACGGATTTTATGTAATGTGTTGAAACGGACCTGGATCTTGTGTTTATTCAAGATTTTGGAGATCTTTTTTGTGATCCCAGCAATGTAGGGTAAAGTGATGGTTTTGAAAGGCTCCTCAAGAGGGTTCTTCTTCATGGTTTGAGTGATAGCTTTGCGGATTGTATAGTCGGAGTAACCATTAGCCCTAAGAGCTTGGTGTACGTGCTTGAGTTCACTGCTTATGTGTTCCTGGTCGGATATGCATTGGGCTCTATGATACAGAGTCTTGATGAGAGAATTCTTCTGTGATGGATGGTGGTGGGAATCCGGTTTCAGATAAGCATCCGTATGGGTAGCTTTCCTGTAGACAGAGTGGCTCATTGAACCATCAGGTCTCTTTTTAATTAGGACATCCAAAAAAGGTATCTTGCCATCTATTTCGACTTCCATGGTAAATCTGATGGCTGGGTGTATGGAATTGATGTGGTCGAAGAATTGGTCTAGAGCAGGCCGGCCATGTGGCCAGATGACAAAAGTGTCATCCACGTACCTCTTCCATAAGGTTGGGCGCAGAGTGGCAGTCTGGATGGCGTCAGTCTCAAATTTCTCCATGAAAATGTTAGCTATAACTGGAGAAAGGGGGGAGCCCATTGGGGTGCCCTCAGTTTGTTTGTAGAAAGTTCCATTCCAAGTGAAGTATGTATTGGTTAAACAGTGTCTCACCAGGGGGGGTACCTCAGTGTTTAGTCCTTGATGAACCAAGTCTTCAATGATTGCAATGGTGTCAGGTACAGGAACCTTGGTGAATAAGGAAACTACATCAAAACTGACAAGCAGGTCGTCTGGGGACAGGGAAATACCCTTGATTGTTGATACCAGGTGAGTAGAATTTTGTACCGCAGAGGTGGTCTTTCCAGTGAAAGGACGCAGGATTTCAGACAAAAAAACGAGCTAGTTTGTAGGTGGGGGAGCTGATGGTAGAGACTATGGGACAAAGAGGTGTATCAACTTTATGTATTTTTGGTAAGCCGTATAATCTTGGTGGCCTGGCAGCAGAAGGTTTCAACGAAAACTGTTTAGATTGATCAATTAATGCGGTTGAATCAGAAATTATTTTGTTGGTTTGTGTGACGAGGCTGTTGGTGGGATCTCTTTTTATTTTTGTATAACTACCATCGTCGAGTAATTCTTTAATTTTGTTGTTGTATTCTATTTTATCCATGATAACAGTAGCATTGCCTTTGTCAGCTGAGAGAACTACAATATCATTCCTCTTTTTTAATTTATATAATCGCCTCTACGGGGAGGGTTTTCACATAACTTTAAGATCCTTCAACAAACTCCGGGATAAGAAAGCTCAGCTGATCGAGTCTCTCACCTTCCTGAAGAGATGCCGCGACTCTGGGGTAATACCAATCGCATTTACACTCACCTCTGCTACTATAACTTCTTCTAATGCGAAACGAATTCTTTTCAAAACTAGCTTAGCTCTTATCTCAGAAAAAATCAGACTTATACGCACAGAACTAGATCAGTTAGACAAGACACTCTACAAATCACACTTATCATTGACGGCAATAATGTCCACATCGGATTGGGAACATGTAGACAATATGACTGCCTCTTCAGCTGCTACTATGTCGACCAAATGTAAGGAAAACCTGATTTCCAAATTTAACCTCCTCTTCAACAAAAGACCGGACCCACACACCAAAAAGTTAGACGTTAATAAAGTCGTAATTAATCGCAGTAACAGTTCTATTTCCGATGGTCTGAAATCCGTTTTAGCTAAAGGTCTAAACTTTGCAGTCACACCTAAACACATACCAGTTAATGATATAATTGCCCAAGTAGACGTTGCTCTCAGGGGCCTGGGTCACATCGCTGCAGACGTAGCAAGATCTGAAATCGCTGCAACCCTCAAAAACGCTAAGATGCCAGCTAGCAACCTCAGCAAAGATGAGCGTTTTGAATTATATAAATTAAAAAAGAGGAATGATATTGTAGTTCTCTCAGCTGACAAAGGCAATGCTACTGTTATCATGGATAAAATAGAATACAACAACAAAATTAAAGAATTACTCGACGATGGTAGTTATACAAAAATAAAAAGAGATCCCACCAACAGCCTCGTCACACAAACCAACAAAATAATTTCTGATTCAACCGCATTAATTGATCAATCTAAACAGTTTTCGTTGAAACCTTCTGCTGCCAGGCCACCAAGATTATACGGCTTACCAAAAATACATAAAGTTGATACACCTCTTCGTCCCATAGTCTCTACCATCAGCTCCCCCACCTACAAACTAGCTCGTTTTTTGTCTGAAATCCTGCGTCCTTTCACTGGAAAGACCACCTCTGCGGTACAAAATTCTACTCACCTGGTATCAACAATCAAGGGTATTTCCCTGTCCCCAGACGACCTGCTTGTCAGTTTTGATGTAGTTTCCTTATTCACCAAGGTTCCTGTACCTGACACCATTGCAATCATTGAAGACTTGGTTCATCAAGGACTAAACACTGAGGTACCCCCCCTGGTGAGACACTGTTTAACCAATACATACTTCACTTGGAATGGAACTTTCTACAAACAAACTGAGGGCACCCCAATGGGCTCCCCCCTTTCTCCAGTTATAGCTAACATTTTCATGGAGAAATTTGAGACTGACGCCATCCAGACTGCCACTCTGCGCCCAACCTTATGGAAGAGGTACGTGGATAACACTTTTGTCATCTGGCCACATGGCCGGCCTGCTCTAGACCAATTCTTCGACCACATCAATTCCATACACCCAGCCATCAGATTTACCATGGAAGTCGAAATAGATGGCAAGATACCTTTTTTGGATGTCCTAATTAAAAAGAGACCTGATGGTTCAATGAGCCACTCTGTCTACAGGAAAGCTACCCATACGGATGCTTATCTGAAACCGGATTCCCACCACCATCCATCACAGAAGAATTCTCTCATCAAGACTCTGTATCATAGAGCCCAATGCATATCCGACCAGGAACACATAAGCAGTGAACTCAAGCACGTACACCAAGCTCTTAGGGCTAATGGTTACTCCGACTATACAATCCGCAAAGCTATCACTCAAACCATGAAGAAGAACCCTCTTGAGGAGCCTTTCAAAACCATCACTTTACCCTACATTGCTGGGATCACAAAAAAGATCTCCAAAATCTTGAATAAACACAAGATCCAGGTCCGTTTCAACACATTACATAAAATCCGTGATCTGGTTCCGTCTGTAAAAGATGTGATTCCGGACATACAATACCCTGGTGTCTACAAACTAAGTTGCCTCTGTGGTAGTAGTTACATTGGAGAAACCAAACGCCATATCTCGGACCGCATTCGTGAACATAAAGCAGACCTTAAACACGGTAGGACTAACACCTCGGCCGTAGCAGATCATTGTTCTAATTCAGTAGGCTCACATGCCATTGACTTTTCCAAGACGGAGGTTCTTTGTAAGCCATCTGGCTTCCATGAGAGATTCGTTCATGAGGCTATCCACATATACAAACACAGAGACAATTTCAACCGAGAAGATGGATTCTATCTTAGCAATCATTGGAAAGATTTGATAAATCATTTCAGTTCTTGATTGATTGTTCACGCTTACAGTGGCTTTCAGACAGCATACATAAAAACAAATTTCGTCTCCCCCCTCCTCTTTTCAAAAAATAGATGGACTAGTCCTGGCAAACAGCCAACCGTTGCGCGTGACGCAAACGTTATTTTTATATATATAAATAAATAAATATGCCGTTTTCAAAATAAATTTATGCAAACCGACACACCTGATGATGACCGTTTGAGTTATGGTCGAAACGTCGTGAGAATTTTTTATTGTTTTATATATATTTTGTTATTTTGTTGTTTCTCTTCAACGTGACTTTACCGAAAAAACTAAGAATATGAATTACTGCAGTCACGAAAGCTTTAAATCAAAATTTAAGGTGACAACAGTTGGTGCGATTATTCGCAAATGGAAGAAACACAAAAGAACTGTCAATCTCCCTCGGCCTGGGGCTCCATGCAAGATCTCACCTCGTGGAGTTGCAATGATCATGAGAACGGTGAGGAATTAGCCCAGAACTACACGGGAGGATCTTGTCAATGATCTCAAGGCAGCTGGGACCATAGTCACCAAGAAAACAATTGGTAACACACTACGCCGTGAAGGACTGAAATCCTGCAGCGCCCGCAAGATCCCCCTGCTCAAGAAAGCACATATACATGCCCGTCTTAAGTTTGCCAATGAACATCTGAATGATTCAGAGGACAACTGGGTGAAAGTGTTGTGGTCAGATGAGACCAAAATGAAGCTCTTTGGCATCAACTCAACTCGATGTGTTTAGATGAGGAGGAATGCTGCCTATGACCCCAAGAACACCATCCCCACCGTCAAACATGGAGGTGGAAACATTATGCTTTGGGGGTGTTTTTCTGCTAAGGGGACAGGACAACTTCACCGCATCAAAGGGACGATGGACGGGGCCATGTACCGTCAAATCTTGGGTGAGAACCTCCATCCCTCAGCCAGGGCATTGAAAATGGGTCGTGGATGGGTATTCCAGCATGACAATGACCCAGAACATACGGCCAAAGCAACAAAGGAGTGGCTCAAGAAGAAGCACATTAAGGTCCTGGAGTGGCCTAGCCAGTCTCCAGACCTTAATCCCATAGAAAATCTGTAGAGGGAGCTGAAGGTTCGAGTTGCCAAACGTCAGCCTCGAAACCTTAATGACTTGGAGATCTGCAAAGAGGAGTGGGACAAAATCCCTCCTGAGATGTGTGCAAACCTGGTGGCCAACTACAAGAAACGTCTGACCTCTGATTGCCAACAGGGGTTTTGCCATCAAGTACTAAGTCATGTTTTGCAGAGGGGTCAAATACTTCTTTCCCTTATTAAAATGCAAATCAATTTATAACATTTTTGACATGCGTTTTTCTGGATTTTGTTGTTGTGATTCTGTCTCTCACTCTTCAAATAAACCTACCTTTAAAATGACAGACTGATCATTTCTTCGTCAGTGAGCAAACGTACAAAATCAGCAGGGGATCAAAGACTTTTTCCCCTCACTGTATTTGGAGTTTGCGTGTCTCTGTCCCCGTGGTCGTGTGGATTTTTCACCAGGTCCTCAGGTATTCCCTTCCACACTTCGAATCAACATCGTGCGCTTCAAGTATTTGGCTGCTATAAATTTCCACTTCACGATGAGCCACTTTGTTGAGCAATCATTTGCGGCTTCTTCAAGAGAGCTACAAAGCTCTGTGGGGCCTTACCTGGTAAAATAAAATAAAAATAATTCAGACCACTACACCACAGCGGCAGTGGACACAACCACCACCACCACCAGCACCGCCGTCGGAATGCATTTGGTTTGGCCGCTCAGGCTCGCAGGGAGACATCCTCACAAACCTCTCTGGGTGGAGGCTGCCGACGTGGCCTTGGAATCCGTGGGTCTCATCACAGGAGTGCTGACCAGCTGGAACACCTCCTCATCCTCCATCTCGCTGAAGCCTCGATCGGAGCTCTTGGGCAAATTCTGGCGACACAAATGAATCATCGTCATCGTCGCTGCCATCCCGTCACGTCTGGGGCAGGTGAACCCCTAAGTGGTAGCTGCCTGCATTCCAAGCCAGGTCCAAGCGTCGCTGATGAGTGTCACTCACCAGCGCCACTCACGAGCGTGGCTCACGGCACCGTCGCGCGTCGCTGATGAGTGTCACTCACCAGCGCCACTCACCAGCGCCACTCAAGGGCGTAGCTATCAGCACCGTTGCACGTCGCTGATGAGTGTCACTCACGAGTCACTCACCAGTGCCACTCAAGGGCGTAGCTAACAGCACCGTCGCGTGTCACTGATGAGTGTCACTCACGAGAGTCACTCACCAGCGCCACTCAAGGGCGTAGCTCACGGTAGTGTCGAGCACGGCTCCTCAGCGTCACTCACGAGCGCCACTCACGAGCGTCGCCAACAGCACCGGCGAGCGTCGCTGGTGAGTGTCACTCACCAGCGCCATTCATGAGCACCGCTAGCAGCACTGGCGAGCATCACTCATGGGTGTCAATCACGAGCGTCACTCATGAGCGTCACCCGCAAGCGCCACTCACAAACGTCGTTCCCAGCATTGTTCGGGGCCCCCCCCCCTGCTCACCCGTGCAGCCGCGCGGTGCTTGGAGGACGCCCTCTGGTTGCGCGGCCGCACGGCCATCTTGTGGCGCGCGGCGCTGCTGTCCAGCAGGAGGTGGGCCAGAGCCGGCGCTGCGGGGGGGGGCGGCGCCCTGGCACAGTGAGCGAGTGAGCGAGTGAGTGACTGAGTGAGAACATGAGAGCATGTGAGCAAGTGAGTGAACGAGAGAGAACGTATGAGAGTGTGCGAGCTCGTGAGTGAGCGAGAGTGTGTCAACATGTGGGTTATTGAGTGAATGAGCATGTGAGCGTGCGAGTTAGTGAGTGAGCGAGCGAGAGCTGGTGAGTGAGTGAGCATATTTTAGCGAGCGAGTTTGAGTGAGTGAGTGAGCAAGCGAGCAAATGAGCGAGCGAGCGGGCGAGCGGGTGAGTGAGCGAGCGTGTTTGAGCGAGGGCATGAGTGAGAGTGTATGAGCGAGTGAGTAAGCATGTTTGAGTGAGAGCGTTTGAGTGAGTGAGAGCGGGCGGGTGAGCGAGTGAGTGAGTGAGCAAGTGACAGAGTGAGTGAGTGGGTGAGTGAGTGGGTGAGTGAGTGAGTGAGTGGGTGGGTGAGTGAGTGAGTGGGTGGGTGGGTGGGTGAGTGAGTGAGTGGGTGAGTGGGTGGGTGAGTGAGTGAGTGGGTGGGTGAGTGAGTGAGTGAGGGGGTGGGTGGGTGGGTGAGTGAGTGAGTGGGTGAGTGGGTGGGTGAGTGAGTGAGTGGGTGAGTGAGCAACCAAGTGAGTGAGTGAGCGAGCCAGTGAATGAGTGAGTGAGCGAGATTGTTTGAGTGAAAGCGTGAGCGAGAGTGTGTGAGTGAGCGTGTTAGTGAGTAAGCATGTGAGTGAGTGAGCATGTAAGTGAGTGAGCATGTGAGTGAGTGAGTGAGAGCATGTGAGTGAGTGAGAGCATGTGAGTGAGTGTGAGTGAAAGCATGTGAGTGAGTGAATGTGAGCGAGTGAGTGCGAGCATGTGAGTGAGTGTGAGCGTATGAGTGAGCGTGTGAGTGAGCGTGTTTGAGTGAGCGTATTTGAGTGAGCGTGTCTGAGTGAGCGAGCGGGTGAATAAGCGAGCGGGTTTAAGTGACAGCGTGAGTGAGAGCGTGAGTGAGAGCATGTGAGCGAGTGAATGTGAGCGTGTCAGTGAGTGAGTGTGTGAGTGAACGAGTGAGCGAGGGAGTGAGTAAACGAGTGAGTGAGCGAGTGAGTGAGTGAGCGAGTGAGTGAGCGAGTGAGTGATCGAGCATGTTTGAGTGATAGCATTGAGTGAGAGCGAGTGAGTGAGTGAGTGAGCGAGTGAGCGAGTGTGAGCGAGTGAGCGAGTGTGAGCGTGCGAGTGAGCAAGGACGTGTGAGTGAGCGAGGGCATGTGAGTGAGTGAGCGAGTGAATGAGCGAGCGTGTTTGAGTGACAGCGTGAGAGTGTGTGAGCGAGTGAGTGGGAGCGTATGAGTGAGCGATAGCGTGTGAGTGAGTGAGCATGTTTGAGTGAGTGAGCGAGTGAGTGTGAGCGAGCGAGTGAGCAAGCGAGTTTGAGTGACAGCGTGAGAGTGTGTGAGCGAGTGAGTGTGAGCGAGCGAGTGAGCAAGCGAGTTTGAGTGACAGCGTGAGGGTGTGTGAGCGAGTGAATGTGAGCGAGCGAGTGAGCGAGAGCGTGTGAGTGAGTGAGCGAGCATGTTTGAGTGACAGCGTGAGTGAGAGCGTGTGAGCAAGTGAGTGAGTGAGCGGGTGAGTGAGCGAGTGTGTTTGAGTGACAGCATGAGTGAGAGCGAGTGAGTGAGTGAGCAGGTTAGTGAGCGAGCGTGTTTAAGCGAGTCATAGCATGTGAGTGTGAGTGTGAGCATGTGAGTGAACGAGTGAGCGAGTGATCAAGCATGTTTGAGTGACAGCATGAGTGACAGCGTGTGAGCGAGTGAGTGAGCGAGTGAGTGAGCGAGTTAGTGAGTGAGCGTGTTTGAGTGAGTCATCGCATGTGAGTGAGTGTGAGCGAGTGAGTGTGAGCGTGTGACTGAGAGTGTGTAAGTGAGTGAGCGAGTGATTGAGCATGTTTGAGTGACAGCATGAATGAGAGCGTGTGAACAAGTGAATGAGCGAGTGAGCGTGTTTGAGTGAGTCATTGCATGTGAGTGAGTGTGAGTGAGTGAGTGTGAGCGTGTGAGTGAGAGTGTGTGAGTGAGCATATTTGAGTGAGCGTGTTTGAGCGAGCATGTTTGAGTGAGAGTGTGAGTGAGCGAGTGAGCGAGTGAGTGAGCGAGTTTGAGTGACAACGCGAGTGAGAGCATGATTGAGAGCGAGTGAGTGTGCACGCGTGAGTGTGCGCGTGTGAGTGAGCGAGAGCATGAGTGAGCGTGTTTGAGTGAGCGAGCGCATGCGTGAGTGAGTGGGCGAGTGGGCGAGTGAGCGAGTGTGTGAGTGAGTGAGCGGGTGAGTGAGCGAGCGTTTGAGTTAGCGGGTGAGTGAGCGAGCGTGTTTTAGTGAGAGCGTGTGAGTGAGCGAGTGAGCGGGTGGATGAGCGAGTGAGCGGGTGGATGAGCGAGCGAGTGAGAGCAGGCGAGTGAACGAGCGTGTTTGAGTGAGCGAGCGAGAGCTTTGTGAGTGAGTGAGCATGTGAGCGAGATAGCGGATGAGCGTGCGACTGAGCGAGCGTGTTTAAGTGAGTGAGCATGTGAGTGAGTGTGAATGAGCGAGTGAGCGTGTGAATGAGCGAGTGAGCGAGTGAGAGCGAGCAAGACCTCCGTGGTCCTCGAGCCAGTGTAGACGCTGTCCTGGTTGCCACCAGGAGAAGTGTCTGCGAAGAAGAAGAAGACGCTGTCGTGAGACAGAGCTCGGCTGCCCAGACTCGGAGACCTGGGCGCAGGGAGTGGGAGGAGGAGGGTCAGGGTTAGGAAAGTTGTCATCGTCGGCTACTCTGCGGCGAGTATCTTTGCCCACGGATCTGGTTTATCAACAGAAGCGGCCGCTCTCTCGAGTAGCCGAGCTTCTGTGGGCACGCGCGAAGGCGATGCCGGTCGCGACCTCCAGTGGAACGGCGGGGAAAATGTGTCAGACGGTCGCTCGCTTTCAGACGTTGCTCCATTAATGCTGATTAGATCAACCAAACGGCATATTGGCTCGTCACTTTGCGGCCCCGTGCCCACTAATGGACGTTCGTGAAAAAGAGCCTCATAGCTCATCGGATTTCTCCAGGATAAAGATTCTGATTGTGAAGGATTTGATAGGCTTTGTTGCTTGGTGGTGGAGGGAGGGGGGAAAGGAGGGAGGAGAGCAGAGAGAGGGGAGCAGAGAGAGGGGAGGGGAAAGGAGGAGGGAGGAGAGGGGAGGGAGTGAGGAGAGGAAGTGAGGGAGGAGAGTGAGGGAGGAACGAGAGGGAGGGATGAGAGGGAGGAGAGTGAGGGAGGGAGGAACGAGAGGGAGGGATGAGAGGGAGGAGAGTGAGGGAGGGAGGGATGAGAGGGAGGAATGAGAGGGAGGGATGAGTGGGAGTGAGGGAGGAGAGGGAGGGAGGAACGAGAGGGAGGGGGGAGAGGGAGGAGAGTGAGGGAGGGAGGAACGAGAGGGAGGCATGAGTGGGAGTGAGGGAGGAGAGGGAGGGAGGAACGAGAGGGAGGGGGGAGAGGGAGGGAGGGGGGAGAGGGAGGTAGGAGTGGGAGGAACGAGAAGGAGGGAGGGATGAGAGGGAGGGGGGAGAGGGAGGGATGAGAGGGAGGGGGGAGAGGGAGGGAGAAGGGAGAGGGAGGGATGGGGGAGAGGGAGGGAGAGGGGAGAGGGAGGGAGAGGGGAGAGGGAGGGAGAAGAGGGAGGGAGGGAGGGAGGGGGGAGAGAGGGGAGAGGGAGGGAGGAGAGGGAGTGATGAGAGAGAGGGAGGGGGAGAGGGAGGGAGGGCGTTGGAGGTGCCACGGACCCCACGTGTGAGACGTCCCCGGAGCCGGCCGAGCCGTGCTCCCGGACCTCGGCGTGGTTCACGTCGCCCGCCGAGTGGCTCGGCCGGAGCCTCACGTCTCCGGCGGCCACAGAGGCCGACCGCGGCGGGAGCGCCGCGTCACCCGCCCTGTGCTTCTTCTTGAGCCGGCGGAGCTGAGACACCACGGCTGATGACGAGGAGGAGGAGGACGCCGGCGCCGCTGCGGCCTCATCGTCCCGGGAGGCACCGCTCCCTCGGAATAGGCGCTTGAACGAGAGGAAGCGCTTCTTCTTGGCTGGGAACCCGGGAGGGAGCGAGCGAGCGAGCGACGCGGGGGAGAGAGGGCGGGGGAGAGAGGGGAAGAGTGAAGAAGGGGAGAGTGAGAGGGGGAGAGAGTGAAGGGGAGAGTGAGAGGGGGAGAGAGTGAAGGGGAAAGTGAGGGAGAGCGGGGGGAGAGTGAGAGGGGGAGAGAGAAAGGGGGAGAGTGTAAAGGGGACAGTGAGAGGTGGGGGGGTGTGAAAGGGAGAACAAGAGGAGGAGAGAGGGAGAGCGAGAGTGAAAACTGTAGCGATTCACCCCATACGCAACAATTCAAAACTCAAATCAATGATCATTATTTTTTGGCACCGAGGTTGCTAAGCAATGGGTCGTGGCGTGGAAGCCGTAGAATCTCGAGGGATGAGCTTCTCCAATATCTCGGGGTGTGAACGCTGAGCTGTACCTCGCCGATAACGCCGGCCGTGGGCCAGGCAGCACAGTGTGCCATCCACGGCAATCGCGATTACCGCTGCAAAAAAATATCCTGAAACCCAAGGTCTATCGGACACAACTTGGACAGCGGTGTTAATGACCAAGGCGCCGAGTCTTCGGTGCGAGCCCCCCACTATGTAGCCTGGCACAGGCTGTTGGGGCCAGTTGCTTGTCGGCGAGTGACACGGGCTACACACCGCACCGGCTACTCATTTACGGCCGAGTTGACCTGGCGGGAGGGCCCAGGACCGCTTCAGGCAATCATCGCCGGTGTACTGGTGGCAGTGAGCGGGAATCGCCGGATCCGTAGTGCAGTGTACTAACCGCTGCGCCACCGCTCCCTATACCAGGCAAGCAACGATCGCCCCCTTATATCCCTAACAGGCTGTTGGGGCAAGTGCTGTTCGCGAGTAGCAGCGCCTATGAAAGCCGGCACTGTGGCACACAGGAAGATGAGTGGCCAGCACCGTCCACGGACAAATACAAAGATCCCCCCCCGTATAGCCTTTACAAACTGCTGGGGCCAGTGCTGTCAGGGATTAGCACCGATGAAGGCTGGCACGGCACACGAAGGGGGGCGAGTGGCCGGCACCACGTCCGGCTGCCGTCGTCTCCCAAAGTGGCGATGTTTACTACGCACCGCACTGGGTCCTCATTTGAGGCCGAGTCGACCTAAGAGAGGGCCGTGAGCTGGAATCGAACTCGGGCCTCTGCCAGGTTTGTCGCGCAGCGGCGCTGAACACTACGCTACCGACACGCACACACAGACGACGACACACACACACACAGACGATGCCACACACAGACGACACGCACACACACAGACACACACACACAGACACACACACACACAGACACACACACACACACACGACGACACGCCGGCAGAGGGGCCGTTGTTGTTGTTGTTTGTACGAAACTGCTGGGGGGGGCGAGGAGTGGGCATCACATTAAACGCCGCAATTGATGAAAATCCCCATGAGGGTGGGTGGCGGTGGGGCCGTGCGCTGGAGTGCCGACGCCACTGCCCCCTTCGCTCACTCGGGGTCTCCGCTTCACAAGGGCCGGCCCGTGTCTCCATGGCAGCCGTTGCTACAGCGACATCGGCTTCACTGCAATAAGAAAGGAGAGACGGGAGGGGGGGGGGAGAGACAGAGGGAGGGAGAGTGAGAGAACCAAATTCCTCCTCGCGCCAAGAGAATGGGAGGGGGGGGCTCTCGGTTTTAATTCCCTCGGCAAAATAAATAAATATCTAAAACTAGCAACAGCAAAACCTTCACCTCGGCTCGCACCCTTTCGGCGATCCCCTTTACTGCGACTGCCCAACAGGGCAACTAAAACTAAAAACTTTCCTATTTCTTTCTTGATTTGAAGCTTTCGTGACTGCAGGAATCCATTCCCTCTGGTTCTTTCGGTAAAGTATTTTCCCAGGCAAGGCCCCGCATACCGATATAGGCTCTTTTTCAGAAGCGACCTGGCCTATCAACACAACGAAATCTCAAACAAGTGGCTCATCGTCGTCACATGGAAATTTATAGCAGCCAAATGCTCTTAGAGCACGTTTCTAAATGTTGAGAAAAACAAACGGAGGACCTGGAGGAAAATCCACACGACCACGGGCGGAGAGAGAGGGAGAGAAACGCAAACTCCAAATATACAGCAGCAGGCGCCAGGGTCGGGATCGAACCCACGACCTCCTGTATACCAGGCGAGGTAGTTAACATCTTACTACCTTGATGATGAGAGAGAGAGACACGCAAACTCCAGATATACAGCAGCAGGCATGAGGGTCGGGATCGAACCCACGACCTCCTGTATACCAGGCGAGGTAGTTAACATCTTACTACCTTGATGATGAGAGAGAGGGAGAGAAACGCAAACTCCAAATATACAGCAGCAGGCGTCAGGGTCGGGATCGAACCCACGACCTCCTGTATACCAGGCGAGGTAGTTAACATCTTACTACCTTGATGATGAGAGAGAGAGACACGAAAACTATAATATACAGCAGGCGTCAGAGTCGGGATCGAACCCACGACCTCCTGTATACCAGGCGAGGTAGTTAACATCTTACTACCTTGATGATGAGAGAGAGAGACACGCAAACTCCAAATATACAGCAGGCGTCAGAGTCGGGATCGAACCCACGACCTCCTGTATACCAGGCGAGGTAGTTAACATCTTACTACCTTGATGATGAGAGAGAGAGACACGCAAACTCCAGATATACAGCAGCAGGCATGAGGGTCGGGATCGAACCCACGACCTCCTGTATACCAGGCGAGGTAGTTAACATCTTACTACCTTGATGATGAGAGAGAGAGAGATACGCAAACTCCAAATATACAGCATCAGGCGTCAGAGTCGGGATCGAACCCACGACCTCCTGTATACCAGGCGAGGTAGTTAACATCTTACTACCTTGATGATGAGAGAGAGAGACACGCAAACTCCAATATACAGCAGGCGTCAGGGTCGGGATCGAACCCACGACCTCCTGTATACCAGGCGAGGTAGTTAACATCTTACTACCTTGATGATGAGAGAGAGAGACACGCAAACTCCAAATATACAGCAGGCGTCAGAGTCGGGATCGAACCCACGACCTCCTGTATACCAGGCGAGGTAGTTAACATCTTACTACCTTGATGATGAGAGAGAGAGAGACACGCAAACTCCAAATATACAGCAGGCGTCAGAGTCGGGATCGAACCCACGACCTCCTGTATACCAGGCGAGGTAGTTAACATCTTACTACCTTGATGATGAGAGAGAGAGACACGCAAACTCCAATATACAGCAGCAGGCGTCAGGGTCGGGATGGAACCCACGACCTCCTATATACCAGGCGAGGTAGTTAACATCTTACTACCTTGATGATGAGAGAGAGAGACACGCAAACTCCAAATATACAGCAGCAGGCGTCAGGGTCGGGATCGAACCCACGACCTCCTATATGCCGTTTTTTCCTCTTCATCGTGCATTTCTTTACACACGCGAACGTACACACGCTCACATACACGCACGCAAGCACGTACACACACACACACGCTCACATACACGCACGCAAGCACGTACACACACACGCACGCAAGCACGTACACACACACGTACACACACGCTCACATACACGCACGCACACACGTACACACACACGCTCACATACACGCACGCACACACG